TTAGAGTAAATTCAAATAAAGTTTTGTACTAGAACTAGAAATAAAATCATTGAAAACTTTAAAATGAAGCTTTGAACTTGATACTGGTAAAAAGGTCAAGCATTTGATGAGTTTACGTGACCATGTGATACTACTACATTTTGGTTAACAGTATTTCCTGAAATACAATAATCGGAGAGATATAGGGGAAAAGACAATTCTCTAGAAGATCATTTAAGTTCAAAAAACCAGCTACCAAGGGATCTTTTGTACCTCTGGAAACTGAGGGGAAAATAAATTCTTATTTGATAATTTAATTTTACTTTTTTTTTTTTCATTCCATGTAGACCTTGCTTTTATTTAATTTCTCAGCATTGTTATAACTTCTATCAGCATTAAAATACAAAACCTTACAGAGCAGCTGGAATGACAGGAGGATCTCCAAGGATTTGTCCATCTAAGAAAGTTACAAGCACAACTATCCCAATGTAGTTGCACAAACCAGCTCCCCAGAGGGGGCATTTTGATTTCTCATTTAGTACCTCCCTCGAGAAAAAGCTAAAGTGGAAAGAAAAGGCACTCATTCCAAAATAGATATTCATACAAGGAACTAGTGAGTGTGCCTGTTCTTGTAAAATAGGTATTAAATGAATAGTGGGTTTAATAGGTATAAAACAAATAAATTCTACCACCTTAGAGGGAAAAGCCCTGTGGCAAAAATCTCTGTACTCAGCAGGATAGAGCTGGGTATGAAAAGCTTAAAAATGCCATCAGAGAAAGGTTTGGATTTTTGTTTGCTTTTCTAGAAACAAATGAGTTTCTAAGAATCCCTATGTTACATCATGAATGTGCCCAGTCCACGGAGATTTTCTTCTTTTGGTTCCATAAAATCTGTGTGAGCTATAGCCATATTTTTCTAAATTCTTTGAGAAAGAAATGCTTTTATTGCTAACCTCAGCTAGCCTTCCCTAACCAGCTATAATTTGTTTTCATGCTGAAAAGTCAATAGAGAGTTTAAACAATTATGACATACTTAAATGCTTCATGCTCCTTCTGCAAGCCCAACTGCCTATGAAATTAGACCAATATAAGTTGCCGTTACTGACTAGACTTTATTGGTCTGTTCTTGTGCTCTTTTTAGACAGATCGTTATCTTGCATGAGCTTACAGTTTTGTACCATGTGTGCTGTTCAAATTGACAGCTAGGAGAAGCTCCACAGAGACAATTCAAATTATTACCATAAAAATCCTCAACACTGTTACCAAGTAATCTTTATGACGCAGATTACAGAAGCTGTGGAGAGAGTAAGCAATTGTTCTGACTGAGGTAGTTCCTATGGAGATCATGTTACTGAATAGCTTCTTGGTAATCAGAACAGACATGGGTAACCATCTTTTATGTAAGATACTAGGAATGCATATTATACTATGACCTTAAGAAAAGTCTCTGCTGTTTTATTAAAGAAATTAAAGTCCATGCTGTAGAGAAACCAGCAAGTTCGCAAAATCAATTTTTCCCTCTTGTAAAATAAGTGGCCTGCTAACACAAAAGAGTCATCCCCTTTTCTTATGAAGCACCTGCATTTTCATTTGTAATAGGGTTCTTGTGACTTGTCAACACTGTTTCCAGCATACGGATTATGCCATTTATCAACCTGAACAGTGGGTCTGTTTTGAACATTGTTTTATGAAGCCTGAATATTCTGGCCTAGTCCTCACCTGATGCAGGGTAGAATGGCTCCACAGATGTCCTACTCAGGATCTGGTATGATGTGTTGCAAGACATGCATTTTCAATTATTTCTTCTTGTTCAATACAGTTACATATTTCTTAACGGTTCAATGTGTCAACCATATTTTACTTCTGAACTTCATCGTTGTTCTCTTCTGCCCTGTCTCCAAGTTCAGGTTCCTTTCATCAACCTTGGAAGATTCAGTGGGTCAATTTCTTTTTCATTAAATAATTATCTTACTATTTCAATAGCATGTCGTTTTAGAGTAAACTTAACAGTATTCATTACTGAAAGATGACATTAGTTTGATGCTTAATTATAGCTCTCAGGTGATCCTTTAAAAATAATGTAATAAAAACATCAGCAAAACGCCTTCAATAAAAAATAATTATAAAACATTTTACTCTTGGTTTCAATTTGACCCTATCATCAGAGATGCAGAAGAAAATGGACCAGCTGGTTGTCATTTGCAGTATCTATCTGCTTTCACTTTTGCTCTCCTATATGGAAAGAGTAAAGAAACAAGATTTAGATTAAGACCAAATATGATTACACCTGTGTGTTTTATCTGCCTCAAAGCATTAAGGAAGCATTGAAAACAATTTTTCTTAAACTTTGCTTCAAAGCATATATAAAAGCATAACAACACTTTCGATTTGTTAATTAACTTTGTTTTCTTAAGCAGCTAGAACTGCAACGTCTAACGCTAACCTTGTCTTTCCCTTCAAATCATTGTGAATTGCGTTTTGTCCACTCTGCAGAATGCAATTTCAGATTCAGTGTGATTTGAAACTGATACTCAACCTGTGATGGCCCAGGAGTGTTCTCACATCACTTGCAATTATCATAAATAGTCTTCTGCATTCCACCCACTGAATTAATGCAAATATTTATACTGTATACCAATACAAATGTTTTAAAAATTCAAGACAGTTTCTATAGTCTTAGCTCGGGGGGTGGGGGGGGTGGAATTCCCACTAGATAACACGAAGACTATTCTTAATAAATGCTATTTCTCTTTAAAATGCAGCGTTCCCCTCTCCAAAATATTCTGGTGCCATAGGTATTGAAAATATCAAAAATTAGCTTAATTTTTGTGATTAAAAAGATTCATTGCTCAACTCCTTTGTACTAAACAAACTGAACAACCTAGTTAAAGATTTCCAAAAGAATTCATTTCTGGGTAAATCCAGATGTTCAATCTTCAACTAAAAGTAGTGAAAATTCAGAACAAAAAAAGAAGTGCCAGTCCCAGAACTCAGGCAGAACACTGACCAGAGAGGAAATGCTCAACACCCCACCCCCCTAAAATCAAGCTCTCTTTTGTACCCCAGGTTTACTGTAATTCTATCTCCCAGTAGTTTTTAAATCAGTACATTACTTCTTGTACTTTGAAGTACCTGTCAAGCAGCATTTCATGAAAAGTGCCTTCTTTCCTGGCTTTTCTGAGGGCTTTTGTATCTTCTTTGCTTATTTTAAGCTTTTTGTCTTGAAAACTTTGGAATTTCTTTCTGTAAGGGGGGGAAGAAAAAATGTAAGAAGTCTAACTTCTTTAGTTTTGTGTTCAAATAAAACAACACCTGTGATAAGAATATTGACTTCTATTACACAGTAGACAACTGGCCTAATAAAATCCAGCAAACCATCACAGTATCAAATATTGCACTAAGACTTTTGTAGGTGAAAACTATTCCGTTTTTCTTTGGCAGTCTAAGTAGGAATGAGCCCCTACATGATTAGCATGACGTGGTTACAAGTTCTAAAGAGCCCCTTCTTCAACTACTAGCATGACAAGTCAGGGAGCGAAAGTGTATTGGGTGTAGGTGGCAAGATGCTGGTAGTGGGGGAGCTGCAGGGACGCCTCTGTGAGAAAAGGCCAGGGGCTGCCCCATGCTGGACATAGCTGGCTCCACAACGGACCGACTGCAGGACACAGCCAAGTCCATCAGCAAAGCTGGTGGCACCTCTGTGAAAACATATTTAAGAAAGGGCAAAAGGCCACACGGGCAGAGGAGAAGAGAGGAAAAAAGAAGTGCAAAATGGCAGTGTGAATATCAAGGACAGAGAAGGAGGGGGAGGAGGTGCTTCAGGCGCTGGAGCAGATATTCCCCTCTAGCCCATGGAGGGGACCATGCCAGAGCAGGGGAAAAGTGGGAGAGGAAAGGAGTGGCAGAGAGAAACCACTATGTATTGACCCATACCCCCATCCTGCTTGGGGGACCAGGTAGTGGAGTCTGGAGTGAAGCTGAGCTTGGGAGATGGGGAAAGGAAAGATGGTGTTTTGAATTTTTGTCTTTGTTTCTCACTACCAAATCTACTTTAAATGGGCAATAAATTTAATTAATTTTCCACAAGTTGAGTCTGTTTTGCCTGTGACAGTAACTGGTACACAATCTCCCTGTCTTTATCTTGACCCATGAACTTTCTCAACTTATTTTCTTCCCTTGCCCTGCTGAGGGGAAAGTGAGTGAAAGGCTGGGTGGGAGTTTGGCCCTTCCACCAAAGGCAGCCCCGAAAGAAAAGCACAAAAAGATACTTGAGCCTGTTAACAGCTCTAAACTACGTACACATAATTGATTTCACACTGTTTAACATTTCCTTTGTCTTCTTGTGGAACATCATCTTTCTTCTTTGCTTCTCTTTCAGCACAAGTACGAATCTAGTCATTGAGAGGGGGGAAAAAAAAAAAACACCAACCACAAAACAGAAAATGCCTTTTTTTTTTTACACAACCAGAAGTTTCAGGTTAAAGATGACAATATACCCCTCATAAGAGAATGAGAGTCACAGTGACCTTTTAAGTTCACAGCTTTCAAACTGGTTAATTTGCAAATGGAGACAACTGCAATAAAAGCAAGAGCTGTCTCAAGTATGGGACATATTAAGTGGAATCCTTGATGCTACTGTAAGACATAATCACCTTAATCTCAAAGAAGCACCATTACAGTTCTTAGTTTTAGCAGGGGTAAAATGCCTTTTTCAGAGACTGACTTAAAATTATTATTGCTCTGACTAGTAGACATCTATCTATCTGGAGGCACACATGTATTTTCCATATCCAGATGAAGTCAAGGTAGTCTTTTTACGTTCTGTTACTTAAAAGATGTCTCCTTCTGCATCATTCTGGTAAACGTTTCTCTGTCCCTGCTTCAGTCATAATTCATCTCTCCTGTACCAAGCTGCTCAGAACTATCTGGAATATCACATAGACTGTCTTGCCCCCCAGAGTCTTGCCCTTCTGTAGTGGCAAAATAGCTTCCTATCTCTACTGGAAGTATCTCAGCTTATGCAGCCCTGGAGCTCATTTGCCTTTCTTAAGGCCAAATCACTTGACAGCTTATAGAAAACTATTATAAATGTATTAACAGTAAATTGTAGCACACAGACACCTGGTTATTTGAATATCCGTGCCAATCCTGTATTAATTGTAGAAGTTATAGATTACCTTTATCATTTCTTCTTCCCCTGCAGTTTTGCTTTTGGCTTCTATGTCTCCCTCTTCATTACATCTAATAAAACGGCTATTTGCTGCTAGTAATGCCATTTTCTTCTGCAGAAATAATATCACATATTGTTAGTGTAAGGATTATATACAAACTCTTTGATTCGTAACATTTGCCCTCTACAATACACCAGAAAATTCTGTAAATGCGTTTTATTCTTTTATGTATTGACATTTCAATAGCTAGTCAACAGACTTGCTGGCTCCTTCATTCTTAAGATGCTTACCGATGCCAAAACGCAGCAGTTGGGAAAACAGAAGATTTGAAGTTACAATATGGCAGAGATTGCAAAAGGCTTTTACTGTACAGACGAAGAACATCAATATAGATTAACTCAAAATACAGTCAAATGCTAGGAACAGCAAATGAATTATTCCAAGCAACTTACATCTTGGAAGACAGGTTCCCATTGCTCTCTTGAACCTATGGCATCTGAACGTCCAACAACAAGTCCATCTGAATTTATACCAAGGTATTTGCCATAACCAGACTTCAGAGCAATCCTGAAAGAGAAAATGCAGGAAAACAATAAAGAATGTTGTTAATTCAAGCAATTCACAATATCCAACACATCACAAACACATTATTAGTAGGCAATGTATTTCAAGAGAATATTGAAACAGGTATTCACACCAGAAACAAAAGATAACAAGTATCAAAACTTGTAACATTTTGTTATAGTACTTACCTTGTATCAGACAACTTTACTGCTGTAAACTGTTCAGGAGGACTAGGGCCTTCATCATCTGAGGAAAGAATTTTCCATTAGTTAGTATTAAACATACAGTATTTTAACCTGTTAATAGTGCAGTTTCAAAAAGAATTAAACAGCTGCCACTGCAAAATACTATGGAAAGCAGCAATGCTCTATTTCTTTAAAAATTCCTTTTTTGAATATTCACTTTTAAAAAAGCAACGCAGGTGCTCATTTACGTTCATGTATTTAGAGTGCTTAAAACAAGACAAAATAAAGACAATTCTTGTGTAAAGAAATTTACAGTTGAGAATGCTTTGTAATTCTCCAGGTGGCTCAGAAAACCTTAATCTCCTTGTAATGTTATTTTTCCATAACAAATGGTTCAGCTATGGTAGCACAACTCAGTATCCTAAAAGCTACTAGCCTCTCCATCCCTCAAAACCAAAATGAGGCAATATTGCCATCGTTGCTTTGATGTCACCTTGGAGGTGAAACACTGTCAGGGTTCCGGAACAGTCCTTGTCTGACTGATGGCTCTCAAATTCAAAGTAAGGACTAGCTAATTATCCTGCCACATTAGTAGCCCACTTGTGCAGCGACAAAACAAGTATATTAAGACGAGGATGCAGCAATAAGCCTTGAAACTCATCTGCCTCGAGTTTCATTCTTCAACTGACACCATAAAGTTTTTATAGGTTTTAATAAAAGTTATACTGCTTTTTATCCAGTAAGCAGTATGGCCTTTAACAGGTGATCATCTCCAAGGCAGTTCAATTTATTGTACACGTAAAACAGCAAGAAACCAGGTAAGTGAAACTGATTGGTAGTCATTAGGTTTAAGTCATCTGCATGCTACGGCTAGGATTATTGCATTATTTGTAATAAACTGCTTTTAGCTGTAAAATTGCTTGCCTTTAAGTGATGCTACTTTTATGCCTGTCATTACTAGAACTGCTTACTTCCAAATTTCCTGAAACAAACCTTTATGTGGTGCTCCAAGCGTAAACAAGCCATTGTCGAGGGCATGGATGTAAGCTCCTTTATCCATTTCTATAGCTATAGTTCCTGTAATTTCACCGAAATTACTGATAGCCCACCAGTTTCCTAAAATACAAAACCATGACAGTTAATAGAGTAATTACAACTTCTGATTACAGTAGTTCAAGAGATGATATTTCTGTGTCTTCTCTGAGATTTTAAATTCTAAAGATACAATTGCTATTGCTATCTCAAGATCTTTGTGCATTATTTTATACTACAGGGCCAATTTCATGGTGTTGCTGCTGAAACGAAGTCCTGCTGTTCTACCCACCCTGCCATCCCTAGTCACAGGCTCCTGCACTTCATCCCTTCTTTGTGTTAGTCCATAGAGGAAGTTGATCCATTCAGCTGATCCAGCAAAGATACACCTTGCGAGGAAGGTTTTTTTTTTTTTCCTCTGGACCAGCCTCTTGCAGTTTTGGGGTCGTATCCAATTATTAGATTCTCCAACACAACGGAAACAGATAAACTATCTCATCTTGCTGTTAAATTACCTCATGTGAGCTGTAATTCTTAGACTTCAGTTGTTGAAGCCAATCTGTGTTTGAATGTTTGAGCCCCACAGAATTCTACCAAAGTCAAAGGTAGCCCTACCACGTGCCATGAATTAGAATTATGATGTTTATATTTTTTAAACAGTAAAATTTTCTCCTGGTATACTGTCTTATAAATATTTCCTACACGATTAAGATAATAACTATTTTTAATTAATCTGAATATGATGGTTTTTTTCCACATGGTAAATTCGGCAAGTCAATCTGCCTTGAGCAGAAATAATCTTCCCCTATCTTTATACAACATATGGAGCTAATTATCTTGTCCTATACAGTCAGGGCTCGCAGATCAACGTACGGTTTTTCCAAATCTCTCCCTCTTTTTTGAAATCTGGCTAAACTAAAGAATGTAGAACATCTGTAACATTCTTCTAGTGTGAGACACAACAGCCCATTTTCTCATATATCATAATTTGTTTTAACACAGGAACAAGGATGACTTCCCCTTGCACTGCTTTAGCTTATGCCTATATACACATGATAAAAAATGACATTTATCCTGTAGTGTGTGCTGTGCTGCAGTATACATCTGCATCTCTCATGACTTTGTGGTTCTTTTTTAGCTGTTTTTGTTTGTGAAGTGAACTGTGATCAATCAAGGACATGACAGCGCCGAAGGGCAACAGTCTATCAAGTTACTGCTCACGAGCATACATACTTTGATCCTTCTATTTTATGAAAAAGGAAAAAGTAAAGTTATATTTTGTTACTGGTTAATGTTTGTGTCTTCAGTTTCAATTAACAGTAGCAAATTTATAATGTGAACACATCACAGCAGTCAAGTAAGTACGTCAAATTAAAAACAAATAAACAAACTAACCAAGACTCTCTTCCTTTTGAAAAGATTGAAGGTTTGAGTGAACTAAAGAACACAGTCAGAAAGTAACTAGTGGCAGAGTAAGAACAGAAAGCACAGGTGACCCAACCACTAATTTTCAAAGTAATAGTAACAGAAGATGCAAGTTATTTACACAGAAATGCACTCATTAAGTAACAGCATTACAGTGCTAAAAAGCCTCTCCTCCTGAAGCAAATACCATTGGGGGGGGGAGAAATCCAAACTGTTAAGTACTTTGAGATTATGTAAGAGCATACTTTAGCTAAAAGGTGGAAAATCCATCCCACTGATGTCTGAAGTTCCACCTGGAGTCTAGGAAGATCCCAACACACAAATAACATGTTGTGACAAACAGTTATAAGTCTCTACAGGGAGTACACTTAGTTTACAAAGTCCTGTAACAATCTCTTCAGCTTCTGCTGTCCCCTAGAGTTTCCACACTGTCACGTAATTCCCCCAAAGCAGCTCACCAACAATATCAAGTTGCTCTGCCGCATCCTCTTCCCTTTTCCTTTTCTTCTCCTTGTGCTTTTTCTTGCTGCAAAGGGCGGTACAAAAAAGTAAGAACGTGCCTCCGACCCGGCCCTTCCACGGCGAGCCCTCTCCTACGGCCTTGCTCCCAAGCCCTGCAGGAGCGGGTCACTGACACCCGCCGGGAGCGAGGGGCTGACAGCCCGAAAACCCCTGCCCTGGCCGGCGTGCCCAGGCATACCCGCAGCCGGAGGAACGGGACGGCCTGGCCTGGCCTGGCCTCACC